AAAAGCTGCGATGTGTGCAGACCAGCTTGATATTTGAAAGTTGATATTAGGTGAGTCTTTTTAATTAAACAGCTAAACAACCAGAGAATTTCATTATTGTTTCGGTTTTATTAAAGTTGTAAAAGATTGTCAGTGCTAATCTGGTTTGTGGCAATTGAGATTGATTGATTGAAATATCTGTATTCACATGCTCCTAATTATCTTTTCCTATAGTAACTGATGAAGGGGACTTCACAATAAACTCTTTAACAGGTAAATTACAATTTTGGTTTTGTTTTATATTAACTTCTGATGATATTTGCTGCCTGTAAGCACAAATATTAACAGTTAAAATGTGATTAAAGCCAATCTTGTCTTCCACACCAACAAAGCATTTCAATATTTCAACATACAACCAGATCAAAGCTATAAATATATTGAACAAGAAATAAAACACACGTTAGATGTAACCTTGCTGGCAAACTCTAGTCATTGTTTACAGTGATAGATCAACCACTGTGTGTGTTAAAATCTATACATCAATAAACTGCTGTATCTATAAAGGCACAGTGCACAAATCAATGACAGTAAGGACTGTTTGCTAAAACACTATTATGTTAACAAAATACACATGGATACTTAGACCTGATGAGTTTGTTAATGAACCCCCAACTCTTGCTTTGACATTTAAAACTCAGTGGTAAATAGTCATAATTTTGCATACATCTTTTGCCCAACATGTTTTACTACCCACATAGCACAACCCCCCAACCCTCATTTGTGTACGTGTACTATATATTTGCATGTTATGTACAATTATTGAAACAGAATAGATTTCATGCTGAGCTGAATTAACACTAATAAGAATATGAAATTTAGCATATTTCATTTGTATGCTTATAAGAAAGTACTCTGTCTCTAATAGGCTGATAAGACTACCACACATCCCTATTACATTTGTTAATTTCACCATAAAATTACCAACAGCCGGAGGGGCTTTACCTCATTGTGTACAAATTCATATGGAAAACACCACTCTTCTCATTAAACTCCTACAGAGCTATGTCATTTTGCTTTCAAAAGATTATACAATGTTTTGTCAGCCTATCAAGTATAAGCGTGGCCCTGTCTCAGCTCAAGGTATGACTCATTGCTCTCTGTACAGTTGTACCAGAGGCTGTTTCATCCTTGCTAGCGCACATCATCACATCTCTAGCAATGTGGTGCAACAACAATTAATACCAATTGACTGTGGCTCTGTTTAGCCTCCTGCCTACTACATGGTATGTTTTACTTTTGAGCATGAATTCCAGCTGACTGCTCTGTTGTAAATGTTCCCCAACTGAAATTGTAAGTGACCTTGCTTTCCATAATACAGCTGATATACAGCAAAGATAATTGCCATCAACATCTCCTTTGTTGAGTTAAAGATAATTTCTTTTGCCATCGTTAGTATCTTCAAAAATACAATACCTAATAATAATGATTTCTTTCACATCCTTTTGGGGTTTTTCTCCTTGAACATTTGTTTTTTTTTGAGATTCTGCTTAATGGTGAGTACTAATGACCTTATTGAGGGAGGGGAGAAGGGGGAGCTATCACTGACTGGAAGCAATAAATGATTCTGCCAATGTCAGGAAGGTGAATTCAGGCAGAAAATGGAAATGACGAGAATGCTAAAGTATCCTGAGTTATTGATAACTGATGATATTTCAGCACGTCAGTCACGGGAGGACCCAGTCACACGAGGGAAAATAAGGTGATCAACTGATTTAAAAAATTTATCAATAAATATGGACAATATACTGACATTATACTGTTAATAATGCAATTCTATGCTTCTGCTGTATAAGTTGTGTGTTAGCTTATTAGTCCTGTCTTACCAATGTGCCCTTCAATTTGCCTGAGACAGATCGACAGTTAAGGATGGATGGGAAAGAACCCTTCAATCTCCCACTGCCTCAAGTCAGCTCGGGGGATGAAGTGTCTTGCTTTGGGGTTTAGCTGATGCTTGTTATATACTAACATACGCAACAAATATAAAATTGTCCACTTTGACTGGTAGAATTTTTTAAAAACATCATGGAAAATGAGGGAGGATGTTGCGTTCGTTTAAAAGGGGGAAAAATACCTTTAAAAGCATGGTAGATGTTACAGGGAAAAAAACTTTGCCATTTGCAAGCATTTGGGTCACATCAAATGAGTGAAACAAAACGCACTTCAAGCGGTCTGCTTGTTCAGTGCCACTTTGAGGTCTGTTGTAACCAGTAACAATCACTACAGTAACAGGGTGTCACAGGGGACATCCAAGAAATAAAACTGCATTAGTAGTGATTATTGGCATCTTCCATTTCTTTCAGACAACTTAAGTGTTGTATATTGACTAAAACGCTCTGGAAAAATGTTACCTATTGATTTAGCTGTAAGCCTGAAAGTGATGGTGTTCCTCTGAACTAGTACATATTAACCTTGACTGCTTGCAGTTAAAACACACACAGCCAGATGGCTGAACAGGAAAGGATTTGTAACTAGTGACAAATCATTTGCACAACTTCTTGTGACATAGCAAAAAAAAGTACTGTAAATTATTTGTGTGCCAACTGATGATGTACACATGTAATGTTATAAATGCACATAATTAAAGTTATTGCACTTAATGGCAAGCAGAATATCTCACTCGATCCGAATTCCTATAAAATTATACAAACAGCTTAGAAGTATTTTCCAACAGGTATTCATCATAAATGTATAAGCTCTTTTTATTAACTATGATAAACTGCCCAATTAAACCAGTTTTTAATGCAAATATCGAGGAATATATATAATAGAGCTCCATTTTGTATACACAGTACAAATGCTGTTAGTAATGATTTTTGATATGCTGTAAGTGCTTATAAGCATGGAATTCTCAGATTTTATATTTTTCCTCTATTGCTGTGCAATCACATCAGGTTCTGTTATAGCTACACTGCACCTTCACTGACTGCAGCTTAATTAAAAGTGGCAATCTAAGGGGAAAAAGTTTTCAAGTTCTTTGTTATTATTGCAGTGAACTAAAATGCCTTAATAGTGTTAATTTATATATGGGTTTGTCTGCTTCAACCTCATGAACAACAAAATGACATTTATAGAGCGCCTTTCACATCAGGAGGACGCCCCAAAGTGTCTCGAGACCAGCCTTGAAGGAGGCAAGGGAGGAAGCGAGGCGAAGGGATGGAGTTCCGGAGTGTGGGGGCAGAGAGGCTGAAAGTCCGTCCACCGATGGTTGGGTGGGAGACATGGACCAGGTCGGAGCCCGCTGAACAGAGGGAGTAGACAGGTTGGTAGGGAGTCAGCAGGTCAGAGAGATAGGAGGGGGCAAGGCCATGGATGGCCTTAAAGGTGATGAGGTTCTTGAACTTGAACTGGATCATGAACTTGCTTGGTTGCATTATTTACAGCAATGGGTTATGTTATGGAGTTGCTTTGATTGATATTTGTTTTTGTTCGGTTCAGTATACAAATTCTAATTTTATTGCTAAGTTTCTAATAGCTTGAGTTTGTGTTTCTGTTTTGATAGCTGGGGTCTTGATGTTTTTCTCATGTCTTGCAGTGTGCTTGGGGAATATTATCCTGTTTTGAATAGCCATATTTACTTATCTTTTTCTCGAGTTTGTATATACGTTTCAAATATCATACTGATGTGATTGGTATTGTCCCTTGTGTAACTTTAATTAAGAAGAAATTCGAAAGTTTTGCACAGAATAGAATTTGTGTTTGGATCCATATTTCTCCATCCAAAGTGTTTAGCGAATCCACATTCCACTTTTTTGCCAAGGAATCATAACGTCCTTTACCCCACAGTGTGAGTTGGATCTACTGTTAAGTAGGTATGTGTGACATACAGATTATACTGGCAGCTTCGTCTCGCTGTAAAACTGGAACCACCACTGTGAACAGAGCCATGTGTACAATGAGAATCTGATGCAAGTGTCTCTATGTTTCCATGATAGGCTGCAGCCAATATAACTTGACATGACTGAGGCATCATTAATGAATAAGCTTCATTCACATTTAGCAATTTAGATCTAACAAAGGCACCGCACCCTTGGTGTACCTTAGGAGCAGCGAAAAGAAGCTGCAAAAAAAAAAAAGCCCTTTTGTTAATATTTAGAGACGACTCTTAAGGAAACCATTCACACAGTTTAATTTATTTTCTGTATTACTTTGGATTTTGAGGATCATCCCTCTGTTTAATTTCAAAATAGGTCAAGAAAAAAAATTGCTTATGAGCTTCAAGTAGCCCAGCTGTTTAATTTTTTTTGCAGTAAATGGGTTTTACTAGAAACCAATGATAAAAGGACCACAATCTTTTGTTGTTGGCTACCGACAAAAGGATGCAATAGAAAAATTAATGAACTCAATTTTGATGTGTGTCACAAGATTACAGTCTGGTTTCCCAATTCTGTTAATTTTTTTGTTTAGTGTTAAGACTAAACTTGTTATGTTTTTAATGTATTTTCTCCCATTTCACATTTGTAGGTGTTGCTGAACCGCACCATCATTGGCTAAGGCTGTATGTGTGTGTTCTTTTCTCTTGGGCTATTGTCATTTTCATTGAGAGATGGGCAAGGGTGTTGCATGATGATTGTGCCAAGTGTAGAGTAACAGTTGAGCTTCATGTGACATCTTACCACAGTAGCACATTTGATATTAGCTATTCAACACGTGCATACATATGCAAACCTGCATTTAACCACTTTCTGTTGGTTTGTTCCAATGTCTTGCCTCATCACACTAGTTACCTTCTATTGCAAGCTCTTTTATACTCCTCTTTAACATTAATTCTCTTTGAGCATTTCACTGTAAGCATTAGCAGATAAGATTCTGACATTTTCCATGTATAGAATCAGTTTCATAATCTGCCAATGCCCCCCCACCCGACAGTATTAATCAGGTGTTTAACAATATCACTAAGCAATCTTATGATAGGAGAGTAGAAAGGGAAAGGACAATGAGTGTCTTGACTCCAAATGTCACCAGTAGAGTTTATTGAAATCTAAGAACAACAGAATTGTAAGTCAATCATTTATTTTCTTGGTCTCTGTGTTTTGTGATTGATTGCCAGTAAATTATTATGTTCCTGCTGCACAGAAGAAAACTCTTACGTTTAATCTAACTGGATTCAAAGTTATTTACAAGAAATACTACACTATAATTTAGCAAAATCTGCATTGTGCAAAAACAGCATCATTACAATGAAAAAATATTTTTATAGTCAAACATCACAACAAAACATTTCACACTTCAGTCAGAGTTGTATTTAGGTAGTAATTAACATAATGTATAGAATATACTGTATAGTGAGCACATTATTCAGAATGATTGATCTCTTAACGTAGGCAAAAACAGTATTGCTAAATATTAAGCAGATAGCTATTGAATGAGAAGTCTTTTATTTTGTTTGATACTGTATCTTGTTTAATGTGCAAAATTCTGTGCCAGGTCATCCTGTTTTTTTTTTCAAATGCACACAGTTCCTCGGATACTGCCGCCTTTCTCCTTATTGTACAATAGTGCAAAATGGCTTCACCTCAATGGTACCCTGAGTGGATCGAGTTTACTTTGTTAATGACATCAGCCAAAATAAGAAATATGAGGTTCATCAACAGTAATAATTTCCATCACCTTAGCTATTAACACACAGCACAAATCAGTAGAAGTACTCGGAATGATATTCTGTAACAACTGAGGCTCAAAGTTGAAGTGCTTACAGATTCCCAGTACGAAAGTGTGGTAATTATTAGTATGTTCAAAGTGAAAACATTTTATAAAAGATTATCGTAGGCACAATGAGCTGATATGTTTGCTATGCACACGTTTGCTCTGAATTGACCTTACCATGGGTAACTATGTGTGTTGACATTTGCTGACAAACTGCTTGAAAAGAAAAATTATAGGCTCTTAATACTGGAGTTGAGAAACTAAACACCTAAACAAAAAAATATTTTCAAAAAATCCAGGTGTCTCAATGTCTGTGAGTAAATGACCTGTTTGTTGGGTTGCTGAACCATACAGAACAAAATGTTTGAGCTCATGTTAATGTAAAAGCACAATTTTGTTCACAAATGTTTGTTCAAGAGCTCTGGGACGCTACCCTGGGTGAGGGGCACCATATCAACCCAATATTATTGTTTGAGGAATTTTCAGCACGTCCAAAAACTTCACATGGCTATTGGGAGTTTATTACATTACAATCTTACTAACATTTAAAATAATAAATTAATGTTACAAAAAGACTATAGATACCATCAAAGGAATATCTTTCTAACTGAGAGCGAGTTCTGTAATGCCCTCGGTGGCCATTACTGTTTCCTTGGCTTCCTTGTACATATATCACACATGACATAAACGCAAAACAAAATATTTAAGCTTCAAGTACCTTGAGTGTCTTTTCTAAATGTGAAAATTTATAGTGTAAACCCGCAAAAATATTTTCATAAATTTGTAATAATGAATACTTAAAAGTAGACTGCATACATTTTTTACTGCACTCATTTCTCCAAATACAAATGTTTTGCATTAGGCTGAAAAAAAGTTATTGCGTTTCTCAAGGGTAAGCACTAACCTATTCCTATCTTACCCCTAATTAATCTTTTTAAGCAAATAAAACAATTTAAAATGGGAATCTTTTACACAGGCTTATGCTAGCCTCATTTCCCTAATCATTCCAGGCATGAAGAATTGTAACTTCTAAGTCGAAAATCGAAAAATTTGTTTCAGGGGAATTGTCTGATGTTTTTTTTGCCTCTTTTGTATCTGAGCTGTCAGGTCCTAAACTTTTTGAATCCAGCCTCAAATCTCCAGACTACCCAAAGTTTTGACACATAATTTTGTTTTGTGGCACAATGGACCATTCAGTTGTAGGCCTTGTGGGAAAGCAAATGCACATGAGTAATCATGACAAAGGTTAAAGACTTCCTGGGATGACTTTGGCGTCTGAATGGATAAGTATGGCCTATATTCCAGGTTTAGTTTGGACTCCCAGGATCTGATAGTAGACATTCTAATTGATGCTCCAGTTAGCAGCAAGTGGCTTGGTCCTCCTCACGTTGCCTGAACCACTGAAGGTGCTCCTTAGTGTGTGTAGTGGGCTGTGGACGATAAAGAAAACACAAATAGTTTTTCTTGTACATTTTAGCCATGATCTAGATTTATATAACCCAGGTACACAACACTCATTTCACTACAATGGTAATCAAATTAATTGAATTCCAGGTGCACACAAACCTTTCAGCGGTTTGGAATCGGCATAAAATGGCTGGATTGTCACCATTACAAAGCTCGAACATTTAATTTCCCTGAAAAAAAATCTAAACTTGAGCTGATTTTGAAAAATGGTTCTGTAATCTACATCTTTCAGTTAAAGTTCAAATATTTCTGACCATTTTGTATTCCATCTGACGTCAAAGAAAGCCTTTGAGATGTCCTCTGATTTGAAAGGCACACTGCAAATTGTTGTTGTTGTTTGCATAAAATATATGAGACTAAATTGAGCTACAAGCAATTTGTGCAAGTGTTTGTTACGGGTAAGTGATGTTTTATTGCTTTTATAGGAGTTTGAGGTAAATTATGAAAGGCAGTTGCAAGTAAGCAGGGTTCTGCAGTATTAACAAAGACAGATTTATTTCACAGCTTGTCCAAGCTCATGTCATTATTTATAATATATGCAGACATTTGATGTTAAAGTGCTCAACATGATGAATGCATCATTTGTTCATTATGATTAGTCGTCAATTCTAAAACAAGGTGTTTCAGAAATGGTAATTGCAGCAATATATATAAACCAAAATCTCGAATAAAGGTGCTATTTTTGTGAATGTATTTGTACTGATTGTATTCTGTTCATCAACATGAGAGCCTGGGAAATAGAAAATGTTATACTTACTGGAAATGAACACAATCAATTAGTTATTATGACTATCAAAACTTCACTTTTCAATAAAATATCACATTCTTATGTTGACTTGATAAATTGTCTGTTGAGCAATTTGTGTAGTGCTCACAGACATAAGCACTACCTGGCTGATTTGCTTATTCCTTTGATCTATATGAAGCATAGCGCTTCACAGATGGATAAAAGGAACATCGAAACTATAATTGTCACTAAGCGTCATATTTCCAAAGTATTACTGCTACTGTTCAGTTTGTATTTTTACAATCGTTACAAAAGGAGGTAATGATGATTTGAGCGGGGACTAGATACCAACTTGATTCATCTGGTAGAATTCACATTTCTGGGTCAGAACACTCAAATCCCAGTTGGGACTTGAGTTTATAGTCTGGGCTAACATTCCTTTGCAGTACTGGAGGAGCACTGTGTTGTTGTTTGACGAGATGTTGAACTTGTAATGAATAGTCCATGCCCTATTCCAAACAAGAAGGAAGTTTGTCCTGGGCAACAATTAATTAATTAATTCACCTCATTCTGCTTTACGGGACCTTGCTCATGTACATATGGCTGTCTTGCTAGCAATCACTACACTGGGACAGTAATTGCCCGTGTAACACTTTGAGACATTGAAACACGATGAGGTACTATAAAAATGCAAGTTTATTCTTTCTTTTGATCCAGAGAACTCTGAAATGTTAATTACCAGTTGTTAGCCCTTCAGTTAGCTACAGAAATTGACTGCTGACTGTTAGATCTCTTAAATAAAACTACTTCAAATACAGAATTCTGATTGAAACATCTTGTCATGTTCTATGTCGATTACAGTGGTGTTCTTTCTGCCTGATCAGGGCCAATACATTTGGATCAGTTCATCTTTTTTTTCTCATTAGTTTCCAGATCAGCAACTAGCCCCTATTCTGAAAGATTTTTTATTTTGAGAAAGTGACGTCTCTACCTGTGTTTTTTTTCCTGCAGATAAAGTGCGAGTTACCATTGTTTTTTTTTTCTCTCTCTCTCTCTCTCTCCCCCTCCCTCCTGAAGACATTGACTCTTTGTGAAGCAATTGGTATGACTACCATCCAGTATGTCATGAAAGTTGTAATTAGTGATCAGGATTCCTCCCAGGGCCATTGATCATTCATTTTTATTTTAGCAATGAAATTCTGCTGTTGACTGCAATGCAATATAACCATCTAATTACTCTGAATTATGTTGCATCACTCTGTACTGCAAGAGATGGTGCAAACTATACTGGAACAGTTATGCAAAGATATGCCTCCACTTTGAGCTTTGCACCACAGATTCCTTAGTGACATCTTGGAGACATTTGTCAAGGGTTGGTAACTATCTGCCTGATTTCTTCTCCTGAAGTAAAGAATTGCAACTGTTATGATTTTCACATAAAATCCCAAGGAAACTGATCGTACACTTGGCAATGCAATGAACTAATCATAATGTGCAATTAAAGCTTGTATGATTAAAAAAAACTGTGGAGAGGCTCAAGTTGCTAAAAGTTTTGTTAGAACTCATGATGAGCTTCAATGAATAAGTACCAAACAAACCAATGTCCTAAACTTAAAATGTGGGAAGTCTTCATGAAATTTCCAGTGGCATTGCACAGTGAATGGCCAAGACTAAATAAATGGTTCATGACATTTCAGCTGATTCAGGATTGTGATTAGGATGAGTTTGTATCTGAGGAAGATAATCATTCTGATACCATGATTGTGTGTTAATGGATTATCTTATGCTGTCTGGTATTGGGCGCATTTATACCTCCTTTGTGTTACAGACGTGTCAGTGAAAATCGACTGTAAATATCTTAAGAGCTTTTAATGCTGGGGTATTCGTCCTGTTTACTCTGCAGGGTGGATTTCACAAGAACTGCAAAAGAAGAAACACAACTGTGCAGTTGTGTCTTGTTTTCCTTGGCCTCTAGAGACAATTGATACTGGCCAGCAGTACAAATGCCATGACACCAAAAATTGTGACAGGCATCTGTGATCTCCTCCATCTTAAACTTCAACCAATGGCAGTGACTGAGACAGCTTGAAAGTTTCACCACCCCCCACCACCCAAAAAAAAAACAGGCTAATGATTTTGATCAGAAATGAAACCATTTGCTATAGAAATGCTACCTTAAACTGAGGCACGTTTTAGTTAAAATAATTCTACAAACTCCCAATATTCACACGCGTGTATAAAAAGCTCTAATTTGCTTCCAGAATAATCTGACATGTCAAATTAATTTGACTTAAATCAACAAGGAATAATCCATCTGAAAAAACCTGATGAACAGAGTGACACACGTAAATGCGATTTTGTTGTGAAATAATGTGTTGAGGTATAATTTCCACATGGAATGGAAGATTAGCAAATTTTAACAGATTCATATGCATAGGATCACAATTACCTTTGATTGCTATTGTTGCTGTGGCATCCTTCATGGGTGTCATCAATGCCATCCTAATGTTCCTAAACATTAGATGACTATAAATGATGAGAGTGAAACAGACAAACCATTATGACGAGGGTGCAAGAGCAGCAGTTTGTTTTACCGAGTGTGATGAGTGTGTGATTTGACTGGAGTAATCAGCTAGTCTTGCACTACTAAAAAAAATTGCATGTTTGTTATGTGACCACAAAACCATGCGTCTGATTCTGAGTTCTATCAATTACAATTCCTTGTCTCCGATCAATGCAATGTCTCCTGGACAGTGCCTGAGGTCTAGGTGATTTACCCTTTTTTTTAAATTTCTATATCCTAATAGAACTAAAAGCTTCTGCGATTCTGCTTAGATGAAAATGTGTTGTCTAAATCTTCAAGTGGAAAAGCAATGCTGTGCCGATAAAAATAGGTTTAAATCGTTCATCGTGCTATATATCTCAAAACAGAACTCTAGTTTATGCATTTTTTTGACCGAGCATGTTTTAAAATCATTTTTTCTCCTATTTACCACTGCCTTGTACCACACACTGTTTTCCCTGAAACCTATTTGATATGTAACAGTATTGTGAGTTGAACTTGCCACCATGTGGGAAATACCATTCCTACCACTCCATAGTGCAGTTCATTGCTCAAGTGTTAAAGGTTTATTTTGCACAGTTGGTTTATAGTTTCCTCTCCGCTGTGTTTGATGGGTCATTGTCGATTACCAAATTGGAGAAAAGTTTGAGAACAATTTTAAAAGGAAAAGGTAAATGAAATGCATGACAAAATGCTTCAAATAAATTTAAGAAATAAATGGAAGAGAGGCTGGAGTAGGAAGGTAAATGTCCATTTCTTTGAACAAGAGTTATAAGTAAAGTCAAGTATATTATTGCCATGATTCTTGTGACATTTGTTGAAGCCCTGAGTATAAAAGTCCACCTCTGCTCAACACAATATACTGGCTAGTTTAAAATGTATACCATCAGTACCAGATTCGGTATCTCATCAATGTTTCCTATGAAGGAGAATTGTTGTTTGTTATTCGTAGAGTTCGATGAAAACATTTTTATATTGAATGTTGAAAGGTTGAGGAGAGGTAGTAGCCAGAGAGAGAGAGGAAAGAACATCAATTCTTCATACTTCTTACAGAGAAATATCCACTTCTGAAGAACTAAAGGATATAACTGCAGTCCATAAATCAGTGTCACGTTTGCCGCGCTTTAATTTATAGCCTTTTGTCATGGGCTCTTCTAATTGTCTCTCACTTTTCCGCTGTGATTTCGAAGGTCACAGTCCAATGAACTTAATTACTTACTGATGACAATCGTGCAGGGAAGGTTTCTGATTAACCCTATAAATGCTGGCACCGTAAGATTGAGATTCCAATGAATGAGACTGTTGACACACTGTAGGGTCCCTAGGGAAAGGGTTAAGGTAGAATGACATCTGAAGGAAAAATCAGGGGAGGTGGGGGTGGAAATAGGGGAAGCTTAAGTGTGGCTTCCCAGCAGGGGGACCAACTGAGGTTGGGTAGAAGATTCCTGTCAGTTTGAATTAGGTGGTTGGTAAAATGAGTGTGGGTTGTGCTGTGAAGTAGAACGAGCTATCAAGCAGAAACCATAAGAATACGAAATAGCACTGTACTATTATGACTTGATAATCCATCCATGTTTCTTGCAGATCACTCTGCTTTTTTGTCACAATAACCTAAGAATTACACCTGGATAATTGAGAAATATAGAAATGTTCTATATATTGTACACACATGC